AACACAAGTAAATAGCGCTATTCTGCCTAGTCTCTCCCTATATTGTTTACCATGAACCTCTAAATATTTGCTCTGAAATAGCATGTCAGTTTGGCTTGCACGCCGCCGGACGAGCACTAGTCGCTTTTAACACATGAGAGAGGGTTCTTTTGCTGTGCTCGTGTTTAAGGAGGTGTGGCTCTAGACTGCAGGGGAGGAGATTCAGAGATTTATGCTAAGCTGTTAGCATTGCGGAAGATCACCTACTGCACCTTTAATGTCTACTACTACCCCAACCCTAAACCCAACCATCACAGTAATGTAAAAATATTAATTATTGTTGTAGAGTGTCACAAAAATTCTGCCATATTGATGCAACTATCCACAGCTGTATGCATGCTAGACTTTACCAACATAGCACCTCTTGCTAGCATAGAAAAGTTGCGTCACAAATTACACACTATATACACTTATACACTCAACTGTGTGTCGAGTATATAAGAGTTGTCCTAAATGAAACACTAATTTTTTTAACTAAATGGAAATTCAAACCACTTCCCAGTCAACGTTTAACAGCTGCCAAATTACTAATATAAATGACCAAACTACCAAATACTATCTCTCAAGAATACAACCACATCTGTAGAATAATTTTGCTTGCACAAGAAAAAGTTATCCAGCATTCATGAGTTAACGTTGGCCTTTTTTACATACTCCAGGTTTTACCTAAAATGCACAACACCCATTTGAGATGGAAAGATGACATGCTTGTATAGTAGCACTGATAAATTTGCTCACATGGACGCACAAATGCACCAGCTGCCAGTGTGCACATCTAAGATGGCCCTATTGACGAGCTGTATATTATTCATTGCATCCCCAGTATGCACAGATTGCACACAGTTGAATGCACTGCATTTGAAAGTATGCACATGAACAAAGGCATGAACAAAAGACGTTGACACATGCACACTAGACGACATAGATGACACTCTTGTCTAGTGTGTTTGAATTTATGTTCAAGTAATGAACGGTTAAAAAAACGGTCTTCGTTTTAAGTGCAAAATGTGCAAGGGCACATTTTTCATGTATTCTGGTCCTGTTTACATCCAACCATTTTGGAGAGGGGTTTAATCTGCAATCCAAGAGATAATTGGAAAACGCTTTTTTTTCTTCCCCGCACTTTTTTTGTTGAATGACATTCCAGAAGACCTTTTTGACTCAGAGCTCGAACCTCTGTTAACAACTCTTACATTTCTGGCTAAGAAATGTATATTATTAAAATGGTCTACTTCTCAAACTCCAACTATTTCCATGTGGATTACTCAGTTGTCAGCCTTTCTTCCTTTGGAAAAATGAACTTAGGACCTCAACCACAAACAGAACAAATTCAGGAGACTTTGGAAACCTGTACAATCCTTTCTAAATAAACTCTGAATTTTTTATTTTAAAAGAGTTCTGGCTTCTTCTGTTTTGTTTAAATTATTTAATTTATTTTTTATTTATTATTATTTCTCTATTTTAAACTTACATTTGTGAATGTTTATTTGATTTGCAGCGCTTGGATATGGTTTGTTTTTCTGATTGTCTTTGTTGTTTGTAATATTTGAAAATTTTTAATAAAAATAAATAAACAAATAAATAAATAAAAAAACAAACAAAAAAAAACGGTCTGTATTTTTATCTGAAGAATATAGTTTACCAATAAATTAAAATTTGCAGTTAAATTACTCACTTAGACTCACTTTTTTTCAGCAGAAATTTAAAGGTCCATTTAAGAGCTTTGAAATTTGCATTTTTGCTTAATATGTGACTAATTTTAACTGAAACATGAAGACAGGAGCTGTGTGTCATTTCAGAGGCTCCATCCTCCGAAGGATGACGTGTGTCCTTCGAAGTCCACACAAACTGAACCAAGCATGTTGAAATGAAACGATCTAGCCTGCAAAAGACGAATCTTGTCATCTAGCAACCGTTATAGCTGTCGTTAATAAGCGGTAATAACATTTGTAATTACTTTTTTTTCTAAAAGTGATTTTAAAACTTATTTTGAGCGATCTGAAGGCAAAACAAGGTTCACAAAAGCTGGAAATATACTTCCTTTGAGCCATCTTTATACACATACAAATTTAAAAGGCCTTTAAAATAATTTTAGTGAGACATACAGTATGTACTTGTTCATGTATTAACATATTCAAGTAAATAAAACGTAATTCATACATTTAATTCAGCATTTTCTTTTAAAAACGTCCTGCCGTTACTAGCTGCGCAATGAATCTTGGGGCCACAAAGGATTAATCGGTTGTGTCCTTCTTTACCTGGGAAACGAAGGACACTTTTGGATGCATAGATATATACACTAGATATCGCCTACGAACCCTGAGTGTGCGTCTATAGCGCCGCCACATTTGTACAGTGCTCCCAGGACGAATGTCATTCAACTACACTAGTCAAGACTAAAGCCAACGTGAAGATGCTGGACTTTAGCACTGCGTGCGGGTGTAGTAACGAGCAAACAAAGAAAACAAAGCACAAAGGCAGAACACTTCATAGGTAAGATTTTGTTTTTACGTTTTTGTACTTTTGTGCTAAACAAGTAATGATATTGATGATAATAGAGTCTCTTACTACACTGACCATAAGGTAAAGTAGCACTAACTCGCACTAAATACTAAGCTTATGCTAGTTTTGTTGAATAAAATCAGCAAATAATGTAAATGAAATATGACAAGTTGCTGCAGTGCTAGAAACCTGTAATATTGTCGACTCAGTGAACGAGCCATTCATAACCGGGATTCATTCACAAACTAATCGCTCTCTCTGGTAGAATGAGAAGTGAAAGCGGGATGAGGGCGTGTGTTTCAGGACAAGGATTAGATCAAATTTAACAGGGAGGGAGGATAATACATTTACAATGAGCCTACTGAAAAAAAACAGCTTAAACCAACCTAGGCTGGTTGGCTAGTTTTAGCTGGTCAACCAGGCTGGTTTTAGAGGGGTTTTGGCCAATTCAAGGCTGTTTTCCAGCCATTTCTCCAGCCTGGTCTTAGCAGGTCAGGCTGGGAGATGACCAGCTAAAACCAGCTTGACCAGCCTAGCCAGGCTGGGAGCCCAGACAAAACCAGCTATGTCCAGCTTAAACCAGGCTGGTCAAGCTGGTTTTCCTGGTCATTTTTCAACCTGACCAGCTAAGACCAGGCTGGAAATGGCTAGAAACCAGCCTGGAAGTGGCCAAAACCTCATCTAAAACCAGCCTGGTCAACCAGCTAAAACCAGCCTAAGCTGTTTTTTTTTTTGTTTTTTTTTTCAGTAGGGATTTTAGGACCATTTGCTGAGTCTGTGAATTAATTTGTGTTTCTCAAAAAGCTGCCAGAGACCACCTTCCATTTTATAAATCACCGATGACCACAGTGTCAGCTAAAAATCCTGTTTCATGTTCAAGAAATAAATAAATAAATGAAGAACTCAAATGTCCTGAGGGTTAGTAAATAAACAGAGTGAACTGTTTTTAAACTTTAAATAAGAGGGTCTGTGAGTACACAGAGAAGGGGTTTTGCTGAACAATGCTCACGCCCTAGACATTAAGTGAACCACCTACCTAGTAGGCAGCATTTCTTGACATGTCTCTAAAAACCAACTTAGTGACCTGCCTATTAAGACAGCATTTTGGGTGTGTAACTAACAAAAATCCAACGAGCCGTCTACATAAACAGCATTTTTGGGCGTGTGTCTCAAAGCCCACTGAGGTGTCTACTTAGACAGACATTCACAGTGTACTAAATCCTAGTAAGCTGCCTTTCTAGACAACATTTTGTAGTGAGGATATCTCAAAAACTACCATATATCCTGCATTGTTTGGATTTGGACGCTTTAAAGGCAGCTGCACTGTTGTTTAGGTAGACAGTTAATGTTAACAAGCATTTGAGACGCATCCTCTGTGTATTGATGTATGCGTTAGGGAACTGTCTGACAAGCGCGTCCGTGTGTTATTGTGATCAGCTGGCCTCTTACCCTCGGACGTCAGGCGGCAGAAAGGCCGCAGCAGCTCGGGGAAACTCAGGTTGTTTTTGCGGGTCACTCTCTCGGCATCCTCACTGCACAGGACGGCCACCATCGGCACGAACGAGTCCTGGATGAACTCCTGCACGGACTGCACGCACTGAGCCATGAGCGCGAGCCTCGTCTGGTCTTCTCCGAGCTCAATGATCTGCTGTTAAGTTGAAAACAAAACACCCTCTTTACTGACAGCCGACGGCAGACATGTTGAAATCTACTGCTGCCTGCTGATCGATTTTGCCCAAGAAGCTTAGCGGCGGTCAGGTGATTTTACTTCCGCGATGACATAAAAGCTCCGCGTCTTCCAGAATAAAAGTTCTGGTGTCCGTGAACCTACAACCTACTTTCGGTTTTTAGAAACACAGTTGGGATAGTTAAAAAAATTCATCTTCCTTCGGCTTTGTCCCTTTAGTCTTTTAAGGATCACCACAGCGGAATGAACCGCCAACTTTTGCCTGTCAGGCAGTCAGTATTTAAAGAGTTCAGATGCAAAAACCTCTAAATGATGTGTGGAGTTTTCTTAAAAATATATAATTTTTATCAGGCTCCAGTGTGTAGGTTTAAAAATTTCAATATCATTAAGTGTATTAAATACAAAACTCATCTACATATATTTACATTAAATAAAACTGTCCTATAACAAACAGGTATTTAAAAAAAGATTTTGAAATGCCTTAAAACAGTGTTTCTCAACCACGTTTCTGGAGGACCACCAGCACTGCATGTTTTGTATGTCTCCTTTGTCTGTCACACCCTTACAGTTCTTTCAGTCTCTGCTAAAGAGCTGATAATCTGAATCAGGTGTGGTTGGTTAAGAAGACAGGGAAAATGTGCAGAGCTGGTGGTCCTCAGGAACACGGTTGAGAAACACTACCTTAAAAGACTATAGTATAACACGCACACACAAATCCTTTCTGTCACAGTATCACATCTCTCAGGATTTGTTTAGAAAATGAGTGGCTTTCAGGTTCGGCCGGTTCTATATTTATGATCACAAGGAGAAAGTAAACAGGAACTTGATGCACTCCCTCTATGCAGCTACAAGGAAGTTGCACTGTATTAAACTGAAAGAGAAGATCAGTACAGACTAGTAGACACATTAGACAGCAGACAATATGGACATGACCACTTCAAAAGAAGAGTGTCTCGTGTGCATGGAAAAAATATGTAATCCTTTGCCACCTTCACAACCTTGCTGTGGAAAAATGTAAGTGTGCCTTCACATATATTTGACATAAATGGTGAATTGCTGAGTTGATTTAAACGTGTACATCAAACATGTAGGTTTGAAGAGACGTAATAAGCAAAGTCAGATACTTTAACATAACACATGCTAATGTTTATTGTATATTTTTATGCAGAAATACAAAATATAATGTATGATTATGCTGAAAGTTGGTTTTAATTATTTAAAAACTGAATAACTAGTATTGACAAGTGAATGCTTATCAAATGGATACAGTGAATTAAGCTGTGTGTGTGTGTGTGTGTGTGTGTGTGTGTGTGTGTGTGTGTGTGTGTGTGTGTGTGTGTGTGTGTGTGTGTGTGTGTTGGAAATTGCTGTTAATTCAATGCTTGTGTTCTCATGTGTATTTGCAATATCAGTAACACTTTGCTATATAGGATTCTTAGTTAATATCAGTTAATGTATTTACTAACAATACATCAATTACATTATTTCTGCTCATATTTGTTAACATTATTTAATGTAAATAGTTGTTCATTGCACATTAACTCACAATGCATTAACAATATTAACAAGCACAACATTGGACTTTAATAATGCATTAGTAAACGTTCAACTATTAATAAATGTTGTACAAGCATTGTTGTTCATGTTATTAAATACATCATCTAGCAATTTGTCCTCTATATTAAAGTGTTACTCCTGTATTTCCTCGTTCATATTTTAATATCATTTCTGATAAACAATCGAAACACTTACGGGCAACTAAAAGCGAAAGCAATTTCTTAAGGGAAATTCCATCACATGTTGAGTAGACCAAGATAACCACTCTTGTTACCACATGAACGTCTTTGTGTTATGAAAGCTTATTTTTTATTCTTTTACTTGCATTCATTTTTCTCTGTACTTTCCAGAATCTGCCAGCGATGCCTGACTCAGTGTTTTCAATATAGGTCTCACTGTCCACACTGCAGAAGCCGACACATCCCCAATTCTGCAACTACTCGAGGGGTAATAAATACAGAAGAAAACATATCAGTCTTTTCATCAATAAATATTGCAAGATTATTAATATTTTACATTTTATTTCAGCGTTTTAGTAGCACGAGAAATGGCAGAAACATACAGAAGTAAGTCTCAAGCAAATGTCAGAATTCTATTGTATGTAGTTGATGTATGTGTTTATTTTTAAATACTGACATTCATTCATTGAATGTTTTAATCCAACATTGGGTCAAGTATAGAGAAGCTCAACCATTGGTTAACTTTTTTAAATAAAATTTAAATAACGTTTTTATCCCAATGGTTGGGTTGGTTCATGATTGACCCTACGTTGAGTTACTACAACCCAGCATTTTTTTAGAGTGTATGTTTCTACACTCTCAGAAATAAAGGCACAGGAGCTGTAACTGGGGCAGTAACTTGTCGAAAGATATATATTTGTACCCAAAGAATCCACAGTGGTACCTCAAAGGTGCATATTAGCACCCAAATGTACCTTAAAAGTACCTTTGCGGTACCATTATGAACCCTTCAGGTACAAATTTGTACCTTTTGAAAAGGTACTGCCCCAGTGACAGCTCATGTACCTTTATTTCTGAGAGTGTATGAGCCACCATATTTAAGCAGTCCACCATTTTGTAATGGTCAGAGCTGCTCTGCGAATACTCAAGAACAAGTTGACTGTTTCAGCAACTGTTATTCCAAAACAAAACTGTTGTACGTTTGATCAGTTAAGTGGCTAATTGTACAAATTTAGTTCAGTTGTACAAAAATGTACAATTTTAAAAAGGAGGTGTAGCACCCAGTTCCGCCGCTGAACCAACCGTCATCAGGGGATGAGCAAGTCGTACTAAATTGTACAAATCAGATCGTACATATTCATAGATACTAACTCAAAAAGTTACGAATTGCCCTATGATTATGTTTGTTATTCACATAGCAGACTTGAACAAATAGGAAAACTAAAATAATGCATTCTACAAAAGGCTGTTATGTTCATTCATTCATTCGATCATTTTCTTGTCGGCTTAGTCCCTTTATTAATTCAGCTTAGTCCCTTTATTAATCCGGGGTCGCCACTGCGAAATGAACCGCCAACTTATCCAGCAAGTTTTTACGCAGCGGATGCCCTTCTAGCCGCAACCCATCTCTGGGAAACATCCACACACACACACTCATATTTAGCCTATCCAATTCACCTGTACCGCATGTCTTTGGACTGTGGGGGAAACTGGAGCACCCGGAGGAAACCCACGTGAAGGCAGGGAAAACATGCAAACTCCACACAGAAATGCCAACTGAGCCGAGGTTCGAACCAGCGACCTTCTTGCTGTGAGGCGACAGCACTACCTACTGCGCCACTGCCTCGCCCAGGCTGACTTGTTGTAATAAAAAAAAAACATTATTTTTTAATCAGCTCAAAATCTTTTTTAACCCAATAGACATTCTTACATAAATGTTCAACACAATCTCACAGCAATTCACAACTGTTTGATTTAGTGGCTAATTCGTATGAATTCGTACAATGTAATTCGTACAATTTAGTACAATTTGCTCATCCCCCAATGACGGTTTGGTTTAGGGGTGGGGTTGAGTGCCACGCCTCCTTTTTAAAATCGTACAAATTCGTATGACTGAACTCGTACAAATTTGTACAAATTAGCCACTAAACTGCCAAAACGTAAAATACTTACGTTATCTCGTGAGATCAGGCTGGAAGTTTGGTCCTGTCCTCTTTTGTTTGGCAGTGGCCTATATCAGACAACATAATAGCCTGTTTTCAAACAATCAGCCAGTATAAGATTATATTCAAGATATTATTACTGTCAAACTTTATTGATGAATGCAGATTGCTGTCCAATATCCTTGCCTTTCTTTGTGGGTGGAAAATATTTGTATTTTTTTGATGGTCTTTTATATATTTGTTTAATTGGAGTTCACCTGGTAAACTGAGTTGATTGGACATGATTTGAAAAGGCATATATCTGTCTATATAAGGTCCCAGGGTTGACAGTGCATGTCAAAGCACAAACCAAGCATGAAGACAAAAGAATTGTCTTTAGACCTCTGAGACAGGATTGTCTCGATGCACAAGGCTGGGGAAAGTTACAGAAACATTTCTGCTGCTCTGAAAGTTCAGATGAGCACAGCAGCCTCCATCATCCATAAGCAGAAGATGTTTGGAACCACTATGGCTCTTCCTAGAGCTGGCCGGCCATCTAAGCTGAGTGATCAGGGGAGAAGGGCCTTAGTCAGGGAGGTGATCAATAACCCGATGGTCACTCTGTCTGAGCTCCAGCGTTCTTCTGCAAAAAGAGAACCTTACAGAAGCACAACCATCCAACCCAAGCTCATTCTGAAAACGTAGTCCCGCGGATGTTTCTGGAGACAGCGGAATACGTCCCGGGGGGTACGTACGGCCGTGTTTATTTTTTTCAAGCGAACGCTGCGGAGCGGTGTGACGCTGTTCCCTTTCGCGATTGCCTTACCTCCTTGTGGAGGGCTTCCCTGCTGCAACCCGTTTGTCCACTCAGCTCACCGTGTACGTCGGCAGGCTCGAGATGCAGAGAGGAGTTGACCACGGCGATCGGTTTCGAGTCCGGGGAAGAGCAGTTCCAGCAATCAGGTAAGACAAAAACAGAATCCCAAAAATTAAGTGAACGAGTTTCGTGACAGGGTGAGAACGCGGTAAAATCTGAAAACGCGGTAAGTTAGAAAAAAAAAATCGGGGCTTTTATTTTTTTGGATGGCATTTTGTAAACTGTTGCTCGGGTTTAGGGAAGCGAGCGGGCGGGCGGGTCGATCGGTAAAATTGGTTGGGTTCGGGGAAGGAGGAGGGCGGGTCGGCCGATTGGCCGGTCGCGCAGTCAATCATCCGGTCAGTCGGACAGCGGCCTCCGGTGGGTTCACGCGAGAACATCGCGGGCGTGACCCGCACTCACGAGAGACGTCTGAGAAGTGAAAAGCGCACAACAGCGGCCCCTCTCGGATTCGAGAAAACAAAAACTGCAGCCGTACGCACCCGCTGGGACATATTCCGCGGTCTCCAGAAACGCCCGCGGGACTACGTTTCCACAATGAGCCCAGGCTGCAACCATCTGTGCAGCAATCCACCAATCAGGCCTGTATAGTAGACTGGCCAGACGGAAGCCACTCCCCGCCTGGAATTTGCCAAAAGGCATCTGAAGGACTTTCAGACCATAAGAAACTAAATTGTTTGGTCTGATGAGACTAAAATTGAACTCTTTGGACTGAATGCCAGGCGTTACGTTTGGAAAAGACCAGCCACCGCTCATCACCACACTAATACCATGCCTACAGTGAAGCATAGTGGTGGTGCAGGAACAGGAAGACTAGTCAGGATAGAGGGAAAGATGAATGATGCAGCAATTTACAGAGATATTCTGAATAAAAACCTGCTTCAAAAATATTGTCATTATGGGGTATTGTGTGTTGCGCTACAAATACTTTCTGCACTGTGTGTGTGTGTGTGTGTGTGTGTATATATGTATATATATATATATATATGTGTATATATATATATATATATATATATATATATATATATATATATATATATATATATATATATATATATATATATATATATATATATATATATATTAGCTCCCTTAAGAAATTATTTCTTTTCAATTGGCTACAGAACAAACCATTGTTGTCCAATTTGCCTATTTAACCTAACTTAGTCTAATCAACCTAATTAGGCCTTAAAATGTAAAAATGCACTTTAAGCTGAATACTTGCACCTTGCAAAATAACTAAAACCTTTTATACTGTTATTATCATGGCAAAGACAAAATATTTTAGTCTTTAGAATTTGTCAGCCTTTTAAAACTACAATGTTTAAAATGTCATGGATAAAGAAAATCTTTTTTTTCTCTATGAAACAGCATTTGGTTTAAAAGAACATATTATTCAAATCCTTCGATTTCACAAGAGACATAATCATGTTGCCTTTAACTGTATATATATATATATATATATATATATATATATATATATATAAAATGACCAGCTCTCCTTTTTTTAAACCAACAGTCTCATCACCCAGCTTCGAAATTCACAGACACAACAAACAGACACTGTCAATCAAGTGAATCCACCCAATCAGGCTGCTCCACAAAATCAAGGCCCTCCCTTTCTCGATCGCCGCCCGCAACCTTTTCCTAGATCACGCAACCGATTTTCAAGACGTAATGCCAGCCCAAGTGCTTTTATTCCAGTGGCTCCATTAACTGCTCCATCTACACAGCTGCTAAACCCTGCACCACATCCTACAAGTGTTACTGCTGCCCAAAATGCTCCTTTGCAAACTGCCCCGACACCTGCTCCTGCTCCTGCACCAGCTCTAGCTCCACGGCTGTTCAACCCCGCACCGCAGCCTGTGAGCGCTGCTGCTGCCCCCGGTGGACTTTTCCAGAACACCCCAAGACCTGCTCCAGCTCCACTGCTGCAGAACATTGCCCTATTCCAGCACAGGAATTCCTTACAGGAGCAGCTTGATGACTGGTGAGTCCCATCAAAAGATCAGTGTAAGAGTTAAGAGTTAAGAGGTATGCATTCTGTTGTGCATGACTCTTATTTTGTTTGTTCACAGGCCATGGCAAACAGAGATCGCTTTAATGGGGCTAATGCAGGAACCTTTAAGGTGAGGACTTTTAGACTGCTTATGTAAAGGTCAAGTAGGGTGATGCATGATTTAGTTCTTTGGGAACCAATTGGATTTTTGAAAGAAGGGTGTTGTGTTGCTAACAAAATGAAAGAAGATTGAAAAATAGATGAATAAATAAGAGACACTCACTGAGAGCCTTGCCTTAAAGACATTCCATGTGATCAGAAGTAAAGAAAAGTTGTTTCGAGGAGGGAGCGAAGGTTTTGATGTTTAATTAAAGATTATATAATTTTACCCCCCCCCCCTCATGACTGTGAAGTGCTTTGGGTGTATGGTCATATGTAACGGAGGCCAGCTAGTAAGTGCTCTGCAGGTAAACCTCACTCCTCTGACCTCTAAAGGTGTTCTAGCGACAGACCATAGATATATACACTAGATATCGCATAGGGACCATGAGCATGCGTCAATAGCGCCGCCACATTGGTACAGTGCTCCCAGGGCAAATGTCATTCAACCGCACTAGTCAAGACAGTGTTATTACGTGAAGATGCGGGACTTTAGCGCTGTCTACAGGTGTAGTAACGAGCAAACAAAGAAAACAAAGTACAAAGGCAGAACATTTCATAGGTAATATTAAGTTTTTTTCTGTTTTTGTATGTTCTGAACAATTTGTGCTAATCAGGTAACGTTATTGATGATAACAGTCACTTACTGCATTCACCATAAGGCAAAGTAGCTCCAACTCGCACTTAACACTCGGCTTATGCTAGTTTTTTTGAATAAAATCAGCAAACAATGCAAAATAAATATGACAACGAGATGCTGCGGTGCCAGAAACTTGTATTATTGTCGGCTAGTGAAAGGGTCGTTTGGGGGATTCATTCACAAACGAATCGCTCCCTTCGTCAGTATGAGAAGTGAAACCAGGAGAGGAGGTGTGTTTCAGGACATGATTAGATCAAATTTAACAGGGAGGGTGAATATTACATTTCTGTACACACAAACACAAGCTTTTTGTCAGGAATGCCCGTGCGGTCACTGATCCATCAATGTAGAAAAGTGATGTAAAATTATATTTTTTGTAATTAGAAAAAAAAATTACATACTAACATCCAGGAAAACTCCCGATCATAGATATATGTGTATATCTCTGGCTTTGGATGGCCACAGTCCTCCACTGTACCTTGGTCCCACATTCATTTCAAAGGAGCGCTACCCTGCACAAGATGGCGGCGCTATTGACGCATTCCGTCCAATAGACAACAATAGGCCAGGCGACATCTAATGTATATATCTATGGCGACAGACGCAAGTGGCCATGGTTTTTAGCCTCCTTGGTAGGGCAACCGACTCCCATGTGGTAGGTCGCCAGTTCGATACCAGTTCGGAGCTGGTTGGGTGGCGTAAGACCGGCGGGGTTACACATATACACGATAATGTGCTATATAAATACATTACATAACATAACAAGCATATAAAAACAGGAAGAAAACGTTTTGATTTCATTGCGACTCTAAAAAAGATTTTTTTGTTTGTTTTTGTAATATTCAGAATTATTATTAATTTTTTATTATTATTATTATTATTTATTTATTTTGAGGTGAGGCCATTTTGGGCCCTATCATACACTGGGTGCAATGCGGTGCAAGGCGCGACGCAATTGTTGTTTGCTTGTTGCAGCTCGACATTATTTTGAAGTTTTGCACCACCCAGTTTGCATTTCATGCATTTTAATTGGTTTATTAATAATTTAATTAACTGTTTATCAGTTTTATTTTGGAACCTTACCTTTTAGTAGTTTTGTAGGAGATTACAATCTTTTAGGTTCACTTATTTTTCTCATTTCTCCTCGCTAGTGTTTCTTTGAGGACATTTGTGTGCCCATACTGTCAGAATAATGGATTTGATGAACTTCAACTACTAAATCACTGCAATATCCACCATGCCAGCGACAGCAGACGTGTGGTGAGTCAGAATTCATACAGACTATTCATAATATCCAATTTGATGAATTTCTGTAAACTCACTACACATTCAGTTCTAAAAACAAATATAGTTAATTTCAGCTAAATCTAAAGCTGAAGTGAGTTTTAGCGGTGATGTTATGACAAGACAATGAAGGCAAAAAAACGTTTTCATGCACCTGTCAGTTTTAAGATTTAGGGATTTTTTTAAACATATTTTTTTTCAGTCTAAAGAAAAGAAAACACCAAAAAAGGGGTGGTTATAGATGTTTCTTTTATCAAGTGTTAATCAATTTGTTAAATACATATTTTAAAATGCAGATTTTTTTTTTTCAAAGTGAGATTTATTTCCTGCACTGAGCCACAATTCTCCACTTCAGCAGAACTTAAATACACCAAAGTGCACAATTCTATTCATGCAGTATATTTTGAAGGTATTTGGAGAGATTTGCATGAAACAAAAAAATTTGGACAAAATTTGCATGAAACAAAATATTCTAAAAAAAAAAAAGGTAAACGTTTAATTTGCACTATTTACTGAGTTGAGTGATAAAAGAGAAACTCAAAATCTCCTCTAAAAACATTTGACATAATATGCAATGAGAATTTTGAACGACGTCATCTAAATTTCACCTGCTTAAATGTATGCAAATTAGCACATATTTAATAAGATAGTGCCTTATTTGCACATCTGCAATAAAGGCAACATTTTAGAAAACTTGTATTACAAAAAATATTTTTGCAATTCCTAATGTATTCCGTCCACTAGGGAAATATGCTGATAAGTTAACTTTCTTTACACTGTTCAGTGTAAACCTTTGTAAACCAGTGTTAATTAATGGTGGTTGTGATATTCAGCATGTTAGTAGATATACTGTAATTAGGAATCAACCGACAAATCTTTATATTAATGAGTCATGTTTCTTTTTTTTAATTTATAAAAACAGATAATATAGTAAGACTGAAAATATTTCAGTTTTAAAAGGATAATTGAGTAAATTCCCACCATTCACTTGTTCCAGTCCTGTTTCCTACTTTATTAAAATGTCTTTCCTACTAAAAGAGTTTCTTACTTTTAAACTAAAATTAAGATTTGAGGGCGACGCAGTGGCGCATTAGGTAGGGCTGTTGCCTCGCAGCAAGAAGGTCGCTGGTTTGAGGCTCGGCTAGGTCAGTTGGCGTTTCTGAGTGGAGTTTGCATGTTCTCCCTGCCTTCGCGTGGGTTTCCTCTGGGTGCTCCGGATTCCCCCACAGTCCAAAGACATGTGGTATAGGTGAATTGGCTAGGCTAAATTGTCTGTAGTGTATGAGTGTGTGGATGTTTACGCCATAGACTGTAAAATTTGCGTCAGCGTCAATGCTTCCCATTCACCTTGAATGGGTGACGTCAAGCGTTGCCGAACTGCATAGTGTATCTGTCGGCGCTGCTTCAGAGGCGTTGCTCGCTGCAGAAGTTGGGACTAGCTCAACTTTTCAAGCGCCGACGGAAGCATCAGCCAATCAGATCGCTGTATGCATATACACCCGCTTGACAGTGGCCTATTGCTGACTGAATTTCATTGGCTGATGCTGAAATGACGATCGCTTTAGCCCCAAATTCAGACACGCCTTCAGTCAAGCGTTGACGCTGAAACCCCGGGTTGCAGCGGAAAGGGCATCCGCTGCCTAAAACATGTGCTGGATAAGTTGGCGGTTCAATCTGCTGTGGGGATCCCAGATTAATAAAGGGACTAAGCCAAAAAGAATAGATACTTTGAAGAGAGATGGAAACTGGTAACCATATTTAGTTTTTTGTTTTCCAACTGATGTCAATGTTCACACCTTTTCAGCTTTCTTTCAAATATCTTCCTTTGTGTTCAAACTCAAAGGTTTAAAAACCACTTGAGGGTGTGTAAACAGTGAGTATATTTCCATTTCATTTTTTGAACTGTCACTTCAGGGCCTAAGCAGTGAAAATCCTGTTTGTGTGTGTGTGTGTGTGTGTGTGTGTGTGTGTGTGTGTCGTCCTCTAGGTGTGTCCAGTGTGTGTAGCGACACCTCACGGAGATCCACAATACTACAGCCGCAACTTCATCGGCCACCTCAACCATCGCCACTGCTTCTACCTGGAGGATATAACTGTAAGCCTGTCACCATCATAAATAAAATAACTTCTCCATAATTCTGATAATTTCTCAAATGTCAGTGCCTAACTGAGATTTCCGATCCGCAGCCCCTCCAGCAGTCCGATGAGGTGAATCTGCAGCTCGCGCTTATGGCGTCTTATCAACAACATTAAACCGCATTTTCAGTTCTCAGACATGGTCTGGACAGCAAAAACGATGACATTCATGAATCACCAGGATATTAATAAACTAAAGAGATGGCGGTGAAAGATTGAAGATATGATGATGAGGTATATTATCGATTATATAATGGCGTCCCACATGGAAATAGGCTATTACAATTATATATATATATATATATATATATATATATATATATATATATATATATATATATATATATATACCTTTTCTTGGAACGCAAAATTACCCATTATGCTTTGCGTGTATGAGCAAGGAGAATGCGAAGAACTTCCAGTCGGCAGCTGATGCGTGTAAACAGTCACATTTGGACAGCTTTGAAACGATAGTTTTAATCTATTTTACTTGCTTTTATCCTCTTTGAACTGATACTGTTGTCCATCAGCACCGTCTCCTGGACTGATCACTTAAAGAAATGCGATCTAATAGGATGGAAAACAGCTGCTGTGAGGCATTTTCCCCTCGTTGTCAGATGGCATCTTCTGCAGTTTAAATGAAGCCTTGTCATCGCTAAAGTCGACATTTTCTCTTTATTTCAAGTATATAACCAGCCCAAACAAATGTAGTTCACCAAAATGTTTGACACACACACGTAGCCTGTACTGTGTCACTGACACACTGATTTAATAACTGTGACAAAGTGAAAATATAGGCTAGTGTCATTTTGAAATGACAGAAAAACACAAACCGTGGTAAAAACAACACACGAAATAAAACACAAACGGCTCGTGATTAGAATGAACAGCAAATCAGCCAGCAGAGGATCAATAACAGACTTTTATTGGTCATTTTTGTAAATTGCACGACTTTCATACCTGTTAAGTTTCATGCCAGTACTCTGGTTTGCTCTCTCTCTCTCTCTCTCTCTCTGTGTGCATGTGTGTGTGTGTGTGTTAAAGAGCCGCTGAGCTAACAGCTGACAGGCCGGGAACGCACACACCCACTGTATTTCTGACGGCAGACACGTGAACTAGGAGAACATTTTTCTCGTATTTCTGACGCACTTGAACCACATTTCTAAGTTGTGTGTCACAAAAACACTCTGTTATCCATTAAAAACGTTATTGAAACCTATTTTCGGAGCGCAAATTACCAGTTGTAAACGCTGTAAACGGAAGTTTTTAGCATTCTACCGGAAGACGCTCGTTGCTATGGCGCCCTCCATGCAGCAGCCATGAAAAAGGTCTATATATATATATATATATATATATATATATATATATATATATATATATATATATATATATATATACTATAATGATTTTGCACCATACTAAAGTGTATTGAATAGTACAACACTGAATGCTACTAAGTAGGCTATTTTATGAACTGTTAAGTGATAAACTAAATACTGTAGTATACTTTTGTTTATGTTACACTGTGGTGTAGGCAGTGTAACAGCAAATTTTCTTAGGGGTGGCCAGAAGAGGCCGCACCAAATCTAGGGGTGGCACACACACACACACACTCACAAAAAAATGAATTCAGTGTAATGTTATATTTTTGTTTCTGGTAAATGAAATAATGCGGTTTTAACTCAATTAATTAATTACTCTTGAAATATTGCAATTAATTCCTTGAAATAATTCAGCAAGTACATGTGTAAACCAACTAAAATCTATATTTAGTTTAAAAACACTTCTCATATGTATAAATAACTATCCAGTTTTTTTGCATACTTTTACTGTACAGCATACAGTATATGCCATGTCTAAAATGAATGAAGATTAATGAGTTAATTATAAAAACAAACAAATGAACAAACTGAACAAAAGGCATTACTATACACACACAAACACTTACTATACAGACCCTGATAATATCAATTATCCATATTCCTTTTTGAGCCACAATATTATAAATGCAGCTTCTTCTATTGATGTACCTTAAGGTAAATATTAAATTGCCATTGCTGTCTATTGACGACGATCGGGGAGGGCAGTGGCGGTTCTAGTTTAATTGACACCCTGGGTGAACCACCCTATTCGACTTGCAAAACTCGCACGGGAATGATTTTCTGTGCGCATGCGTCAGTTTGCTTTCACCAGCGCTGAAGGAGAGGGGCACTGAGGCAGTGACTCAGCTACATCAGTGGCACCAACAATAATTGAGTGGCTGCATTTTATTTATTGACATTTTGGGAAATACATAAGTACATTTAAGTTAATAATGTCAACGGCAAAATCATATTGGGGTGGCCACAGGGGTGGCCAGAGTTTACCCAAGGGTTACCCACCCCTTGGGGGCGCCCCTGCGTGTAGGCTAGTATAAAATAGTTGTTGTTGAATATTCTGTACAGTATTGGGCAATTTGTTTATATTGCTGCATGTTGTACCACAGCAACTATGAAATTACATGAAAAGATTAACTCAAGTACACTCAAAAAATAACTTTTGCTGATTATTCAAACTTATTTAAAATGAGTTGAAAAAACACAATTATTAAGGTTTTTGGGGCACAACTTAAATGTTGTATGTTCAATTCATTTAAATTTGTAAAAAAAATAATAAATAAATAAATAAATAAACAAAGTTAACTTAATCAATGTGTGTTGGGACAACATAAAGGAATTGCGTGGAACCCAGAATTGTTTTTGTGTGTGTTTTACTGTATATGGTTCAAAAACACTGTAGTATTTGATGTAAAGTACTTTTTTTCATATAAACAAAATATTTAATCTTGAACCACCAAGATAAATCCACAACTTAGCATGAAATGATGGATGTATCGAATGATGATTTATATTATATCTAAATATAGACAGTATTTTTAATGCACAATGAAATGCTTATCAGATTAGGTGGTGTTTTCATGTTTTGTGGTCTACGGTGTCTATCTACTGATCATTATACATCCATAAAGAAACAATTTGCACTATTTTGCTCTTCTTGCACTTTCTGTTCCAGTAGCTGATTTTCACAATGTACACTTGTACACCGTTCAGAATAGTTTAATGGGACTTACTATGATGTGTTATATATTAGTGGGGAAAATGTTTCAATAAATTATAGTATTTTTGTGAAATCCTCAAGTTGTAAAGCAAAAGGTGATATCATAAAAGTTTTAATACAATATTTGGAAATAGGAAAGGTGTAAATAAAGCCTTTTTACCACATTAGAATGTGTCATTCATTCATTTTCTTGTCGGCTTAGTCCCTTTATTAATCCTGGGTCACCACAGTGGAATGAACCACCAACTTATCCAGCAAGTTTTTACGCAGCAGATGCCCTTCCAGCCGCAACCCATCTCTGGGAAACATCCACACACACACAATTTAGCCTACCCAATTCACCTGTACCGCATGTCTTTGGACTGTGGGGGAAACCGGAGCACCCGGAGGAAACCCACGCGAACGCAGGGAGAACATGCAAACTCCACAAAGAAACGCCAACTGAGCCAAGGATCGAACCAGCGACCTTCTTGCTGTGAGGCGAACGTGCTACCCACTGCGCCATTGCATCGCCCATTAGAATGTGTCATTGTTCTTTATTTACTGAAACAAAAGCAAAACATTTTCTATGATTTGCAGAAGACTACAGTCTCATTCAGTCAGTGGTTTATATATCAAACGACACCTCCAAAATAGTAACAGATTGTCATTTTAAACTTTAAACACACGGTTTTACCCATTTATCTGCACAAAGTATTATAGGGAAGTGAAAATCATTTAAACAAATAATACAATTACTATAATTACATATTCTTATTATATTATATTAACAGTTACTTATTTTAATAATTTGGTCATAAGCATGTTTTCTTTTTTCTTCAAAAATTTATTTGCTGAATGATGATGGTCTTTGATAAGTACCACCCCAATCACTTTTGTATTTATACTGTACAATAATAATAATATATACAGCAATGTGTACTGCATAATATCAAAGACTACAGAATCTAAAGGGACTTTGATAATATATGCTGCACATGTAACACAGTTGAAATCAGAAGTTTACATACACTCTAAAAAAAGGAACATAACCATTTAAAAAAAAAAAAAAAGTCTGTTGGTAAATCAAACTAAACGTTTACATTTTAGGTCCGTTAGGATTACCTACAGTTGAAGTCAGAATTATTAGCCCCTTTTTGATTTTTGTTTCTTTTTTTATATATATATTTCCCAAATGATTATTAACAGAGCAAGGAAATTTTCACAGTATGTCTGATAATATTTTTTTCTTCTGGAGAAAGTCTTATTTGTTTTATTTCGGCTAGAATAAAAGCAGTTTTTAATTTTTTAAAAAACAATTTTGGGACAAAATTATTAGCCCCTTTAAGCTAATTTTTTTTTCGACAGTCTACAGAACAAACCATCGCTATACAGTAACTTGCCTAATTACCCTAACCTGCCTAGTTCACCTTATTAACCTACAGGTAGTTAAGCCTTTAAATGTCACTTTAAACTGTACAGAAGTGTCTTGAAAAATATCAAGTAAAATCTTATTTACTGTCATCATGGCAAAGATAAAATAAATCAGTGATCAGAAATGAGTTATTAAAACTATTATGTTTAGAAATCTGCTGAAACAATCTTCCCTCCATTAAACAGAAATTATGGGGGGAAAAAAAACAGGGGCACTAATAATTCTGACTTCAACTGTAAATGATTTACATTTTCTAAATGCCAGAATGAGAGAATTTTATTTTTTTATTTTTTTGAGAATTTTTTTATTAATTTCTAGACAGTCAAAGGTTTAAATAAATTTCCTTGGTATTTTTTTTAACTTTGCTTTTAAACTGTATAACTTTGGTCAAATGTTTTGAGCTTCTCACAATAGTTTGAAGGAATTTTGGCCCATTCCTCCTGACAGAATTAATGTAACTGAGTCAGATTTTGAGGTCTTGCTCAAACAAGCATTTTCAACTCTGCCCACACATTTTCTGTAGGATTGACATCAGGGCTTTGTGATGGCCACTCCAAAACATTCAATTTGTTGTCCTTAAAGCACATTTTAACTAATTTGGCAGTAAGCTTAGGGTCATGGTCTGTTTGGAAGACCCATTTGTGGCCAAATTTTAATTTCCTGGCTGCTGTCTTGAGATGTTGCTTCAGTATTTCTACATAATGTTCTTTCTTCATGAAGCCATCTATGGTCTGAAGTGGACCAGTCTCTCCTGCAGCAAAACAGCCCCACAACATGATGCT